TAACGTGTTACTTGGTCTTTTATTCAAAATATTGACAAAAATTCACAGTGGGTCTGTTTTTCTAAATTAGGTTATTTCATCAGCATGCATTGATCAACAATCCAAACTTGATGCACATAGTGTTCATTATTTGTAAGGTTCTTCGTCTTTTTAAATTGAAGTTAATTTTAAAAGCTATTTTTGAAATGAAATGGAAAAAGAAAATCATAAAAGTTAAAAGAATTAAAAATGTATAACAAATGTAATCTGAATGCTGAGAAGCCAGCAGCATTATAGAAGCATACTAGGGACTTAATTTGACATATTGTGATATTGTATTTTGCAGAACCAATTGTCATTAAATGTACGTTTTGTGATTTATTCATTTCTTTCTGTCTTTCTCACAGTTACACCGAGCCTAAGACCGGATTGGTGCTGGTCACGCTTCACAAAGAGCTGCTATAATGAAGCTTTTACTTTTAGATTTCTCTCTTTCCACTGCCTTAATCCAGAGCGTCTTCTCTGAGGACTAATAGTGCCAGTATTTACACAGTTCTTTTGTCAGTTTACTACATGCATATTTTCACGTCTTTCAGTAATTGTGCATCGAAGTCATAAAAATCAAGGTACTACATATTTACAGTGTTTTATAATGTATTGAGCTGTATATACAGATTATACTATCTTGAATGTTGATGCTCCCTCCGCAAGGCCATTAGTCACAGGATGGTTTATTCTCTTCAGTGTTGTTGGTATATATAGAAATATATTTAATAGCGTTTCTGGAAATATAAATGCTGATGCTCAGTCAGCTTTGCATTTTAGTTGGTTTGTGAGCAGCTTGGACGGATCCTAGATCAGAATGATACATTTTATGTTGCTTTGACGTGCTAGTGCTCGAGTTTTAGCTCAGCTTTGGTTTTTATATTTCCAGTTTAAAATGTTGATGCCACGCATATTTTTATAGACATCTTAATGCTGCTATGCAAATCACAATTCTTATGTGTAAGAATTTATTCTGGAAAATGTTTTTGTGAAATTGTATATTTGGACAGATTTTATATGTATAATTTTGTTTTATTTCTGTTAGGCATTATGGTGGGGGAAAAAAACTGAAGGGAAGAATAAAGTCTTAAAATGTACTAGCTTCGATTCTTTTGGTGAAATTAAAATGGAGTTTAATCAGCACAGCTCTTGGTGTAGCATGTGCTTGGAGCTCGAAATCACAGCTGAACATTTTCTACATCCTCATTTCTCTTTCTCTACATTTCCCCTTGAATCAGTAGAAACCGTTGGTGGGGGAAAATATTACTCAGCATGTTGAACGCTCAGTAGCTGACCTTTGTTTCAATTAGTAAAGGTCAGATTCCTCCATGATGAACGTGGCAGCTGTCGATGTGAATGCACTTCCTCTCCATCAGAGGGCGACGCACTGAATGACTTTTTCTGCCAGTATTCATTAGAAATGTTTGATGCTATAGAACAGGGGTGTCCAAACTCGGTCCTGGAGGGCCGGTGTCTTGCAGA